GTTTTGTTTTTTTTCTGTCTGGGGCAAGATGAGAGGGTTGGTTGAGTTTCTGTAAGGATCAGTAATGATGGTTGCACAACATTATAAATGTAGTCAATGTCACTGAGTCATACATGTAAAAATGTTGGAATGGCAAGTGCTTTGTTATATATAAATACACTATCTTCAAATTTAAAAAAATTTTAAATAGCTAAGCAACAGAATAAACTTATCTGTCACTGAGTTTATGTAAGCAAAAAGGGATGCGCGCTCTCTCATGTTGGTCTGATTTTTTTAAATGGCTTTAGACAGACTCTGATGCCATCCGGTCCCCCTGTGTTGCGTCAACAGAGAGCAGCCAGTCCTCTAAAACAGTCTCCAGCACTGCCCACTCACCGTCTCCTGAAAACAAAGCATGTCTTCCCAAGAGGGGCACAGGCAGACTTGGAGCTCTCTGCGCTTTTCATACTATTTCCGAAAGCCTAGTGGAAAATAAACATTTTCTCATGATAAAGTACCAAAGGCCCATTCGAATATCAGGTTCTCTTGCTCCTAGCTGGAACCATACCATTTAATATTTTTTTAAATGACAGTTAAAATATTTGGATGTGTAGAAATGGAGAAAAATTATTACTTAAGAAATTATGCCTTGTTTGGCAGATAACATCTCTTAAAATCTAAAGCCCATGAAAGGGGAGTAGCAACAAGAATGAGGCCCTTGGTTAAGAAGAATGAAAGCTAAATCCTTTTGAGGTCAATGCCCATGGGTCAGTGCCTCCTACCACCCACCTCACTACTACCTGTTTCCACAGGCTCAGCTATACAAACAATTCCATTTTTCAAAGATCCTACAGGATCTACCCAACACCTCCCCTTTTAGAGAACCGCCACTCTCCCTACCTCACAAGATCCTAGAGAGATTGCAAAGCACCACACCCACTCCCTCTCCTCCTACACTCCATTACCATTCTGTACAGCTGTGATTCTGACTATGCTAATGTAATTCTCTCCCCATCTATCTGACTTTGATAGGGGGATGAACAGCAGAAATGTGGGTGAAGGAAGACAGCGGATGGTGTAAAATATGAAAATAAAAAATAATTTATAAATTATCATGGGTGGGAGAGGGAGGGGAAAAAAAGAGGAGCTGATACCAAAGGTTCAAGTAGAAAGAAAATGTTTTGGAAATGTTGATGGTAACGTACGTACAAATGTGCTTGATATAATTGATGTATGGATTGTTAAGAGCCCCCAATAGAATGATTTATTAAAATAAAAGTTAAAAAAAAGAATAGGGTCTTTTGCTGAGGTTTAAAGGGCTTCAGAGAGCAAGAACTGTACTGAGCTGCCTGCTTTTTGTTTTTAATTGTGAAGTATAATAAACGGGGGAAACCATGCAAAATGTGGCCCAACACATCAGAATAGTGACAGTATTCCCTCCACCTCCTGTATGTTGCTTTGTCTTTTATTGCGCCCCACCCCCCTCCCTTCTCCCTGCCCCACCCGACCTACTTGAATTCAGAACAGAGACACTTAGATAAGAAACAAATGAAGCAGATTCATCAGACAGCAGTCCATTAGAGAATGTCAACCCTCTAGTTCCTTCAGCCAGGTTCCTGGTACTGTTCTTGTTCTTGGCTCTTACTTGCCGGTGCTTGTTCCATTCTTCCTAACTTAACTACCTAATCTCTCTCTGCCTCCATTTTCTCATCAGTAAATGGGGACAATAATCATCCTGTGTAGAGCAGGATGGTTAAAGGCACAGGTTCTAGAGCTAAACTGCTTGGATTCTAATTTGGGCTCCATTACAGACCAGCTTTCTGACCTGGGCAAGGTATTTAGTGAGCCATGGTGCTGTGGTGAAATGAACTGCACGCTGGGCTAACTGCAAGGTCAGCAGTGAGAACCCACCAGAAAGATGAGGCTTTTTGGTTTTGTAAAGATTTTATCTACTCTGTCCTATTGGAGGCAGAATCCACTCAATGACAGTGAACAAGACACTTTGCGATTTGTGTTGTAAGAAACAAATGCGTTAACATTGCCAGTCACTGAGAACACTGCCTTGCATACAGTAAGCATTTTATACATGTTGCAGCTGTTTTCATTTTAATTATTAAAGGATCGAGCTGGCTAATGCAGAGATTGCAGGGTTTCCTGCTGAGACCTGAATAACACAGAGAAAAGATTGGCTTCCAACGTTAGTCAAAAAAATGTTCACACCACCAACCACGAAGATGGATGATATGACATTAGTCAGCTTATGTGCTGCACACAAATGACCCCTGTGAGGATCTACATCACCAGTGCAACCCAGACCAGCCAGTGTGGGCCAGAGCCAGAGAATGACAGGCTCTGGAAGTTATCACTCCAGAGACATTGCCTTGCTCAGAAGAATGGAGCCAAATGTTAGAAGAAATAGGGCACAGATGATTTTACAAACTTCTGGTTTGTAAAAACCACCAGGTGTGACACACGGGGGAGCGAATCCTACAATTGTATGTCTTTATCTCTCACATCCTAGCTGTGCACTACATCCCTGTGCACGGAACATGTTTTCCTCTCGTCCTCGGCGGTGATCCTTTCTCCCGTCAACACTCACTCCATTGTCTTACATCTTCCTGTCATTTAGAATACTCTGGGAGTATTCCAAATAGTTGCTGGGTCCAGAAATAAAGTCCCGAGCTTGAAAAAATCCCTTGGGCTGTTTTCTAGCATCATGATTCATAACGCGCTCTTTCTGCCCTCTCTTGGTCACTTTCCCTTCCCAGCTACTTCTGTGTGAGCGTTTAGAAAAGGTCAGGAATGCTCGCCCTGCCATTTTTCATTTTAATGTCCGACTTGTGAAAGCTACTCTTAAAAATCAGGAACCTTAACACCATATGCGTGAGAGAAAAGAAAGACAACTAAAATAAAGGGTACCGATAGATGATTTTTCCCAAGGCATGGGTCATTGCTCCATCGCTCAACAACAGACAGCTGGAGTGGCTCAGGGGCCATGAAAGAAAAGCCCCAAGAGGAACTCAGCTTCCAAAGAATTCCAGGAAGCCATCGGCTACAGCTGCCTAATGCTTCTGCTAAATTGATAAAACACAAACCAAACGAGAAGCACCGGCCTGTCACGCTCCACACCAGGAGGAGAATCCAAGTCTTCCTACATTAAATCGAATGCATCTTCATCACCAAGGGAGAGAATCCCCATCAGGGTTACAAATTCGAAAATCTTAGGTAATCACGGAATTTTAAAAAATGAAAGCTTCCGCATTCCTACCAAAACTGTTCTTCACTACCAGGACTTCCACTGATGGTCACACAAAACAAAAACAAACTGGTATGGAAAAGAACTGACCTACAGCAGAAGATCCTGATTTTACTCTCAGCCTTATTATCAACTACATGCATACCAAGTGTGATAAGTAGGTTTATGTTGCTAACCTGGCCAATGAACACATGTGGGATTAATTGAAAGGCGGAGAGATAAATGACTCGGCGAGCCTTGCCTTTCTTGTCTCTTGCTCTTTGATGATCCGACCAATGTGCGGCTGCCTTAGCTTGTTCTGTGCCTCAATTTGCAAGCTACACTACCTGTGAGACACCTAACCCGTGGACTGTGTTGCTGTAGTTTGAGGTTCCTTCAAGACCTGCTTCGTCACGCTACTGGAGTATGCATCGCTTGAGCTGGGGACTGTCAAACCCTGTCATCTGGCTGACTGTTGGTGACCTGCCTTGCTGTTTGCCACCTTTGGCCAGATAGCCTGAATTGCTCTACAGAGGACTATCAGGTGGCCCTCAAGACTTGAAGGACTGCCAATGTATTTGCTGTCTCACAGAAGTGAGTTGCACTGAGCCATTCATACTGCTCTATAGATTAATTAACTGTTTATTTCTTATGTTATATATAGCTATCTATGTAAATATATATATAATCCTTAGTGTCCTGGTTTTGTCTAACATATCAAGAAACAAGTAATGTTACACACCTAGACTTTAGGCTTCTCATCTGCAAAACTAGTGACAATAATCTTAGTGGTCATTTATATTGAACAATTCTTAGCACCAAGCCCTGTCCAAAGAGACTCTGGGAAGAGACTGCTTCCGATCTTCTTGGTATCAATAGAAGCTCTAGCTGCAGGTACAAATGGAGAGGAGGCAAAAAGTCCTGGTTTTCCTGTCAAGTCTCACACAATTAGACATGCTCTCTCACTCAGCACTTCAAAGCAAATGCTTTAAAAAAAAGTGTGTTGGGAGGGGGCATGATTTAAGTTTTATTCATTTAAAAAATCTAAGATTTTCAATAATAATAAAGTCAACAGAAATCAGCAGAATATCTAATCAGATGGCATCAGCAAAGGCGCAGGGTCCAGAACCAAGAAGCTGACAGTGCTGCGCGACTCTAGGCTGAGCAAATCACACCTGGGATTCTGCATACAGTTCCAGGAGTTCTCTCTAAGAAAGACATTAACAAAAGTGTTCCCAGGCAGGAAGTCCAGCTGAGGAGGTGGAGAACACATGCTCTCCTCAAAGAACTAGGACAGCACAGCCTGAGGAAGAGAAGACTGGGGCTAGTCCATCTGTACTTCAACCCCGTCTTTGATTTAGCTCAGATTCAGCAGAGCTGAGCCCAGAGGGGTGCTATAAAAGGAAGGAACTGGCTTAGAGGCCAGAAAACTCCATCCGTGGAGGAAAAATTGCAGAAACTGGGAGAGTCCTGGTGGGGTGGAGGGGAGGGGGCTTGGATGGGATGGGAACAGGCCGGAGGAGGAGGACAGGTTAGAATGGGAATCAAAAAGCATTCTAATAAAGAACACCTTCAGGTCTGCTCTGTTCGGAGCACCTTCTCCCATTCTCAGCACAATGACTACACTGAGTTTTATTCAGCGACTACATGTAGAAATCCCTTCAATAATTTGCCCTTTACTAATCATTTTAGGTTATTGCTCTTTAAGGGCAAGTTGCTGTCCATCTTCTTCTCTCTTCTCTAAGTTGTCCTGTAATTAGGATTGAACAGTCAGACTGCCTCTTACCTTCTGAGGACTTCCATGCCTTCCAGAGGTCCTCCACACTGATGAGCTTGTCCTCCCCGTGGAACGTGCTGTGCTTCACTGTGGGGTCATGGTAATTGAGGTCTTCTCTCAGGAACTGCAGGGGAAAGGCACACAAGTCGTAAGAGATTGTCTAGGAGTCAGCCCCCAACCCCAACATCTATACACACATCATCGGCCTTTAGTCGACCACCTATCCCATTACTCAATGCACAAGTCAGTGCATCACACCACTCATGGATTTTGCCATGCACCACTGTCTTGGTTGCCCTCTAAAATACCCTTTCTTCATTATATGTGCCACTTAAAAATGTAAATAAGAAAGTACTTCTTCATACATATTTTTAATTTTGGAAAGATAATTAATGACCGCTAATTAGTATCCAAAAGCTAGAAGAGGGAAAGAAGAATTAGCAATATTGGAAAATTCATTTATACAGTAAGCAATATGCCAAGAACTTGTATCGTATTTTTCATGAAAAAATGTTTTCATGATATCCTCATAGCCAAGGAATTATCACACTCACTTTACCAATGAGGACAGTCATATTCTTTTTTTTTTTTTTTCGAACTTTTGCTTTTTTTTTTCTTTTTTCTTTTCTTTTCTTTTCTTTTATTTTTTTCTTTTTTAACATTTTATTAGGGGCTCATACAACTGTTATCCCAATCCATACACACATCAATTGTGTAAAGCGCATTTGTACATCGTTTCTCAAAACATTTTCTCTCCATTTAAACCCCCGACATTAGGTCCTCATTTTTCCCCTCCCTCCCCGCTCCCCCCTCCCGCATGAGCACTTGATAGTTTATAAATGGGTATTTTGTCATATCTTGCCCTGTCTGACGTCTCCCTTCATCCACTTTTCGGTTGTCTGTCCCCCAGGGAGGAGGTCACACACAGTTCCATGTAATCGGTTCCCTCTTTCCTACCCATTCTCCCTTTACCCTCCCTGTTTTGCCACTCACACCACTGGTCCTATAGGGCTCATCCGTCCTGGATTCCCTGTATTTTCAGTTCCTATCTGTACCAGGGTACCTCCTCTGGTCTAGCCAGACTTGCAAGGTAGAATTCGAGTCATGGTAGTGGGAGCGGGGAGGAAACCTTTAGGGAGGACAGTCATATTCTTGAAGGCAATGTGATCTGTCCAAAATCATGCAAGGTTTACCAAAAACAAACTAATTCCATCAAGTTCAGTCCAACTCATAGTGACCCAAAAGCAAGAGGCTAAACGATTTGCTATGTTAACTTTGAAGCATGTCCACCCATGCTTTGATGATCCACTTCCCACAAAAGATGGACTTCTTTCCCCTTGAATATAGACCTACATTAGTGACTCATATTCTAACAAACAAAATGTAACGGAAATGATGTCACGTGATTTCCAAGGCCAGGCTAGAAAGACAATACAGATTCTGTCTGGCTCTCTGCTCTTTGGGTCATAAAGTCTTGGCTAGCACTGAGCCGATATCTACAAAGCCTGGCTACTGGGATGTAAGCATTGTATGGAGACTACAGGGACATAGAAGTGCCAGAGCAGCCTCATGTGTTTGAGTCTCCAGGTCAGAAATGTGAATGAGTAAACCTTTATGAGATTCCAGTCCCCAGCTTTCGAGTCATCCCGGTTGATACCAAGTGGACACAGATGAGCTGTCCCTGCTGAGCCAGGTCTACATTGCAGATACACAAACAAAACTCATGTTGGGTGCAGATATATGATGTTTGTTATACAGCACTAACTAGATAACTGAAATAGGCTACACCTGGTAAGTGATGGGAGTTAGGACTCAAAACCAAAATTTGATCCTGTACCACAAATGTGGTCCCTCAATTATCTGGAGTGTATCTTTTCATATTATACTTTTGCGAGAAAAAAGGAAAACAACGTTTTTAGAAACTTAACTTCATCAATACTCATTCAGCCTGATCCTTAACATTTTTAGGATGAACAGTATTTAATATTGATCACTGTTTTACAAGAGTCTTAAATATGAAAGAAACACGCAATTCTGATCACTGAACTACCCTTACTCTCTCAAGAACACATTTTAAAGGATGTCTCAGAAACTGCTTCTTATCCATCTTTTTTCATTCCCAGGGTTTAGTAAAGATCTGGCCCAGAGGAATATAAATAGATGACTGAATATGTGGGTGATAGAAAAATCTCAGACTTCTTAAACCTACAGTCAAGAGGTAAACCGCCTCTCCCTGCCCAACCCAGGCTTTGCAGACACACAGATCTCTGGGTGCAATAACTCAGAAGAGAAGTTTGTAGACAGTCCACTTTGGACTCAGCCCACCAGAGTGTAGCTACTGAGCACAAGGAACTTGACAACATCCAGAGCTATGCTGTAATGCTTTACTGCCCAACAGAAGATTCTGCAATGACAGAAGTGGACTGTATGTACAAAGTTCAGTACAGTAGCTACTAGCTACTTACAGCTACTGAGCACTTAAAAAGTATGAAGAACTGAATTTTGTAGTTAAATTAACTTAAATTTTAATGTGAATAGCCACATATGGCTAACTATACCCCTGAGGTCCTGCAAAGGACCTCGGCTCTCATGGAGGCTAGAGAAAGCAGGAAAGTCAAGACCTCTGAAGAGCTGAGCAAGTGAGAACACATATAGGCTTAATAGCTCTTTGGGTCCTCTGACCCTAATTAATATCAGATCTCTTTGGTACATGAGGCTTACTGGGTTCTCCAACTCTCCAGTCTCTCATTAAAAGTAAAGAGACTATTTTCTAATCAGAACTAAAGTAAATGATGAATATGGCGGTGGACCCAGCACAGACATTTTTTCCAATACTTGCATAAATTGACTAAAGTATTACATACTTGGATTTTTTTAATAGCCAGGTTTTGGTCTATCTGACATTTGCTATAAGTTGTGAATTGTAACTTTATTTTTCCCAAGTTGCTATCCAGTTATCCCAGATCACATTCATTTCCATGATGTCTTTGATTCCTTTGTACAAAATGCTTATCTCATTGTCCTTACCTACAAAGGAGCTTCAAAACCATTGCAAAAAAATGAAGCTGAAAGACAATAGAAATTTCCCATTTACTTTTTTGAAAGCCTCTTACAAAGTTGAGTATATTTCTAGTTTTTTTACTATTTTGCACAATATTTCTATTTTTGTGGTAGCACTTTACTATCTTATTACAATTAAAAAATATCTTTAATGTCTAGACTCCCTCTTCTCATGGCTCTTTTATTTCAGAATATTTATCAGCCTTAGCTGTTTGTTTTTCAAAATGAATGTTAAAAACTATTTAGAAAATTTTCTTTTGATTCAGATTGGTTTTACTGAGGACCTAAGTGATGAGATCATTAAACCTTAAATTGCTAGACACTGAATCAACAAGCAGTCTGAGACAGCCAGTCTAGAAGCAAAAAATTTAATTGCTCATTCATTCATTCATTCATTCATGCATTCATTTATTCAACAAATATTTATAGTAATTAAGATCTTTATGCACCAAGCATACTACCAGGCACTAGAGATGTAGCAAGTAGTAAACACAACAAAGACCTTTGTCCTCATTGAGTAACATCCTACTGGCGTGAGAAAGAATATAAACAAAGGAAGAGAAATAAGAAGTGCTAGTAGTAGCAGTAGTGGGAGCTTGCATTTTAATTAGGGGAGTCAGGGAAGGTTTTATTAAGACAGTGATATCTGAGCAAATAGCTGAAGGAGGTATTGAAGAGAGGAATGAATAGTAGCTAGGAGGAGAGTATTCCAAGAATAGGGGATGGCAACTCCAAAGGCCCTGAGGTCAGCACACACTTGGCATGTTCATGGAATAGCAAGGAGACCGGTGTGGCTGAAGATACATGTGGTGACTGGGATGAGATGAACTCACAAGCAGCATCAGGGGTCCATAGCTTAAAGGCTGGGTTAGGCCATTACAAGGGCTTAAATGGATGCTGTTGGAGGACTCTAAACCGAGTTGTAATATAATCATATTTACATTTTTAAAAGACTTTTCTGAATGTGGTGTTGAGAAGCAGACTATAAAAGAGCAAGGGCAGATGCAAAGAAAGCAGTCCGGGGACTACTGCAATAATCTTGGTGTGAGATCATGCCAACCGGAAACAAAGTGGTATCCGTGCAGGCAAAGAGCAGTTGTCAGGTTCTGGACCTGTTGTCAGGATCAAATGGGCACTCATTATGATGGTTTAGTTTTGATCACCCTATATACTGTGTATAAGCCGAGTTTTTCAGCACAGTTTTAATGCAGTTTTGGTGGTAAAATTAGGTGCCTTGGCTGATATCAGGGTGGCTTATACTCGAGTATATATGGTAATCATCTTTAACATAAACCCACCCTTGGTCCTCCTAAGCTTTCACCAGTATCATCTGAGAGTAGAGAAACATATATGCAGGGCTGCTTTTACCACCAGCTAACTCCAACAACCATCCAATGAGAGATACTAGCAATTTACACAGAACAAATGAGAAATAGGTTATTTTGTATAACCAAATTGGATAATTTAGGAGTGAAGGACATAGAAGTTCATAGACCTTATTTATGCCCCCAAGCATGCAAAAGAGTGGGGTCATACAGTGCAGTGAATCACTGAATATGGCTCTGCTAGCCACTGACTTTGTAACTTCAAGGGATGACAGGGTGAGACTATGCAAAGGAGGTGTTTGTGGGCCACTAAGCAAATCCGAGAGCTTGTTAATCATATATATAAGGTATATGACCAAAAAAAATTAAAAAGGTAAATGACAACACAGTAAGGGTGGGAATATGCCCCCCCAAAAAAGGTGTACAAATCCCTAATATGGTCAGCATGGCCATTCTGCTACGCTTAAAATGAAGCATCTCAGAGGCAGAAAAGGGGTCCTGTGACCATCAAGAACGGAAAGTCGGAGTGCAGCACACTCTTTGGACCCGAGATATCTGAACTGATAACCCCCTACTCAGGAGACAGAGAGAGGGAGCTGTAACACAGAAGACAGTGAGAGACAGGGCAAGATGGCAGGACCCAGGAGATCAGCCCGAGCTGGCATGGCTGACTCCTGGTCACAAAGCAAAAAGGTGAGCACCTTTGGGCAGGAGGCTTGCTAAAACTAGGGTTGCCAAC